GAAATTGTCTGAATTCTTCTGTTTTTGAATTTTAATATGTGAGCTGTCCCCACAGCAACTTTTCCAGCAGCTCCACAACGGGCTAAACTCACACATGGAGAGATGCAACATCCCTCAGGAGAACGAAAAGCAGGAAGGGACTCATCAAGCACTTGGTTCTTTGTGACATGGAGAAAAAAAGTCTAAAATCCAGTTTGGGGGTATCTAGGTGGGCTTTTCTTTGCTGCTTAAACCCCATCATCAAAGCTACACCAGGACCAGAGGAGACAACAAAACTGCTCCTAATTTCTGTGACTGGGTGCAAAGCAGGGAGAGGGTGCACAGGCAGTGTTTGAGCTGCTGAAGGAGCAATGTGGAAAGGCCAGGCTTAAAGAAATAAAAAAGAGAAGACAAAATTCTTCTGGGAGTGGAGGGAGGTGTGAGATAAATCAGTTCTGCCTAAAGAAAATCCATAAACTGCTTTCCAGGTCATAAAGAGAAATATGCTGCACATGAGGAATTTGTTCTTAGCTTTTCTTCAGCCTGAAAGAAGTCACTGTCATTTTTACAGAGAGAAAATATTTTAACAAGATGTTCTGTCCTTGAGCAGGGGCCTCTTCCCGGTGCTGTGGAGCCCTTGATCCCCAGAGCCAAACGTGTGGGACTGGAAAAGCAGCTGAGGCACAGCAGCCACATCCCTGCAACCCCCAGAGCCAGCAGGAGCTGCTGGAAATGATGCCTGGGGAAGGCTCAGATAGAACAGAGCTACAGAATAAAGCAGGGATTTATTAAAAGGATCTCCTCCATGGATCCACCTTGGGCTGCACAAGAGCCCAGCCAGGGCTGCGCCCAAGGTGAACCAAAATGGTCCCAAAATGAACCCAAGATAAACAAAAATGATCCCAAAATGAACCCAAGATGAACCAAAATGATCCCAAAATGAACCCAAGATGAACCAAAATGGCCCCAAAATGCACGAGCGCTCCCGGGGTCTCTCCCTGGGATCAGCTCTGCTCCATTTGCACCTTGCAGTTCATTGTCCCATTCCAGCTTTAGCCCAGGCAGTCCCACCCTGCTTGTTTTTCTCTCTCCAGCCCACGGTGTTTGTGCTCCTGGGCTGAGATTGGGATCATTTGTCCTTGGTGCCCAGCTGGAGCAGGAATTGTTTTGTCTCCCTGCTCTGTGCACAGAGCTCAGCATCCCCTGATGTGAGCCCAGATCCACACACTAAAGCAGCACAGAATCTGAAAAATGGAAAAGCCAAAACCTGAGGCCTCAGAACAGGCTTTACTCCTGACAAACACATAAATCTCTGCTCCTGAAGCAGCAGCTGCTCCTGGCCCTGCCCTGTGGGAGCATCCCAGGGATGCTGGCTCCAGGTGTGTTGGGCACTGGATGTATCTACCAGCCCATCTCCAGCGTCCCTCTGCTGTTTCCTCTGAGTTTGGAACACAAGAACAGCTCCCAGGACAAACCAGGTGTTTTTCCATGCCTGGAATGCCTCCTGCCTCGCTGATGAGGCAAAATCTGGATGGAATCCAGGCAGCGCCCTCCAACCACCACCATCTGCAGGGATGCTGCACCCAGCAGGGATTCATTATCTCATCAGGGTGCTGTGCCTGCCCTTTCCTGAGGGACAGGAGATGGGTCACTGTGCCACCAGGCTGTGGGACACCCTGCCTGGATGATGCCAGCATCATCCCTTCCCTCTGTGATTCAGCCTCTCCCTTCCTGCTGCCGTGGGCACAGCTCTCAGCCTTGCAACACCCCACACATCTCATTCCCCTTCAGGGAATAATGGCCTGAATTTCCACGTTTCAGGGCAAGCTGGCAAAAAAAGCCACATCCTGTGTGAGTCAGGTACAACAGCCTTGTGGTTCCACCATGCTGAGATGTGACATCCTGGGCAGATTCCTCCTGCAGATTCCTGCTGTCCCATGCCCAGGAGAAAACCAAGGCAAAACCCTGTCCTAGCAGCCTCAGTCAAACCTTTCAGCTCTTGAGGGTTTTGGAAATAAATATAAAAAATATTAATGTAAACAAGGTGTTTTGCTTCTTGTTGGTGGCTTTGACAGGTGCAAGGCTTCGGGGTGGCACAAGGGTGGTGATGGGACCCATCGGAGGCAAATCATCAGCCAGGACAAAATCCATGGCAAAATTTGGGCAAAATCCACGCTCCTCTCCAAACCACAGCATTCATTCCAAGCCCAGTGGAAGGGTATTTTTCTTTCCAACATCTCAGGATTTGTGCTAAGTTATTGTTGGCTACTCTGCATTCGTAGATATTTTCACATCTGTAAGGCTGTAAAAGGTGACATTGATCTTCCTGTGTTTCTGAGGGTGAGATTATTTTGGAAAAGGCACCATGTAGGTGTAGGAAAAGCTTCATCTTGCCCTTTAATTATGTCAAAACTCAGGTGGTCAAAACAAAAAACAAAACAAAAACACAAACAAACAAAAGAAAACAAACCAAAAATCCAAACAAACAAAACCAACAACATATATACACATATACATATGTAAATATAAATATAAATATAAATAAACATATAAACCTATAATATAAATATATATTTTTATATAAAATATCTAATAAAATATGTAAATAAATTTATATTAAGTATAAATATAAATTGTACCTATACATATAAATATAGGTACATTTATATAAATAATATGATATACATATATATTTATATATAAATTATATAAATTATATAAATATATAAAAATATGTAAATAAATTTATATTAAATATAAATTGTACCTATAAATATAAATATATTAAAGACTCAGTTTCAATTTTTTAATTTCTACAGATGCCAGCCCTTGTTTATTGCCATCAATCTATAAAGCCAAAGCTCTTGGAGCCATTTCCACCAAATGATGACCAAAAGCAGGTCAAAAATGACAAAGTAAATGCACTCTGACTGCAATATGACTTAATTTTAACCAGCAGGAGTTTCAGGGGGATTAAAAAAAATAAAAAGGCAAAGAACTTGTTGACATGAAGCATGTGGAGTCACTCACCCAGCATTGTGTAAGGGCTGTAAATCTGCCTGGAAATGAGGCATGAAATGCATCATAAAAAGTATATCATCAAAACTATAAGATCAGCTGAAAATTTATGGTAGGTAGCTTGGGGAGAGCGTTACATGTCTGGACTTTAAATCAAATGCAGCTCTTCAGCTGTATAATCCTGCAAGCTTTTGCACAGAACTCCTTTTTCTTATTTCCCCCTCCCTGCACCAGCTCTCAGCAGTAAAATCCCCACACTACTTTCTGTAAATTCAGCAATGAAAACTCTGTAATCTGAAAATCAATACCAAACCTGCCACAGCAAGTGAGCTACAGCAGAAGCAGCACTGGTTTAAACTTTGGGGGCAAATAAAGCTCAAAAATGAAACAGAGGATTTGTCCTCTCCTGCAGAAGGTTCTGTTGGCTCAAATAAAGCAGCTCCCTGTTCTCCTCATTACTTTAAGATGTTCCTCTGACCCCCACAACCCCACTGTAATTATCTTCTTGGTGTTGGTTTCTGTTTCTTCATCTCCCCAAAGATTATTATTGTCTCTCTGTGGCCAGATGAAAACCAGATGGGGAGGACAAAGGGGAGAGATGAAGATTTGGGTGAATACCTGATTTCTGCTGTGTCTGGTGGGTATGGGCAAGCATGATTAAATTAAAGCATTAAATTACTCTCTAAAAGTCTAACAGAAATTGTTCTTTTGGTTTCACTGTTGTGCCAAGGGAGTGGGGATCATGATCCTTCCAAATTATCCTTCCAAGGGGCCAGAGGTTTATCTCACCTAAATTTCCCTGCTCAACAAATTAGCCCACAAATTGCCCAGCACAAATCTACAGGAGGTCTCTTAATCTCTGATCATTCATCAGGAAAAGGCTGCAGAGGCCAATGGGGAGAAGATTCTCCTGCCCACAGGAGAAACAAAAAATAAGAGCACTCTCTAAAACAAACCAAGCTCATCTTTTCCCTGGTATCTCCTGCAGCTTCTTGGTTTTTCTGAAAATTCTTTAAGATAAAGTACTGAACCACAGTCCTTACAAAGGGGACAATTCATGCCATATATTTATATTATTGAAGTTCATCTCAATCCTTATTGCAGTCTGGGATGCACTGAAGGAACACAAAATCAGAGCACTCTCTAAAGCAAACCAAGCTCACATTTTCCCTGATATCTCCTGCAGCTTCTTGTTTTTCCTGTTAATTCTTGAAGATGAAGTACTGAACCACAGTCCTTACACATTGAGTAATTCATGCCATATATTTATATTATTGAACTGTTTCATCCTAATCCTTATTGCAGTCTGGGATGCTCTGTGCTTTCCCCTGTTTTCTGGAGCCCTGGGACCCAGCATTGTGCAATCCCCCAATGCTGCAGCTCTGCCAGCTGTAGTGGAAAAGTTTGAGCAAGAAAAAAAAAATTCTCCTTGGCCGGACACCAACCACAGTCCTCAAAATCAATGTCAGGGCTTTGTGAGGCTCAGATTTCGTGGCCAGCAAGAGCTGCTGTGGCCCAGATTTGCAGCAGGCTGCTCTGGTGGTGGCTACAAGGGTCTGAGGATGAGGGAGGAGCCGGGGATCTGATTCCATGTTACAGAGGCTGATTGTCACAGACATCTTTTATGAAAAATCCTTTCCTTAGGATTTTTCCTCCTGAGAAGCTGGGAGGCCTCAGGAACAAAATGTAAACATTGATTATCTGCTGCTGTGGAATGCAACAGGTGCATCTGTGATTGGTCTCATAGAGTTGTTTCTAATTAAACGGCCAATCACAGTCAGATGGCTTGGACAGAGAGCTGAGACACAAACCTTTGTTATCATTCTTTCTGATTCTATTCTTAGCCAGCCTTCTGATGAAATCCTTTCTTCTATTCTCTTAGTATAGTTTTAATATAATATATATCATAAAATAATAAATCTAGCCTTCTGAAACATGGAGTCAGATCCTTATCTCTTCCCTCAACCTGAGACCCCTGTGAACACCATCACAGCTGATTTTACCTTCATCCCTTGCTCAGCTGCACTGATGGCTTCCCAGTCTGGAACTGGAGACAAATTGGAGATGGAGACAAAGACTTCCCAGCCTTCATCCTGCTCTGGCTGGGAGAAAGAAAAGGAATTTCCCAGGGACTGCTTCCCACAGTGCTGGAGAAACCTGGGTAGAGAACAGACAAATGGGTCTGTGATCCCTTGCTTGGTAAAAAAGGTGACTCTAAAAGAAGCTGGCAGCATCACCCAGAGTGACAACAATTCTGCTTGCAAGGCCCAGGAAAAATCCCAGGATAAAGTGAGGGTGAAATGTGGAGGAAAAGGACAAGGGGAAAAGGGGGAAAATTGACAGGCCTGGCTAAATCTGCACTTCAGTTTAGATGGTTTTGTACTTTTACAATGAATTTCTGATGAAATTATAATTAAAATTATACTGTGGTTGTGGTTTTCTTTTTTCTTTCTAAACAGTTCCATTGAATTTTAAACTAGGCTAAGAAACAGTGTTAGCAAAGAGAATTTACTTGTCCTCTTTAGGGTATTTTAAAAATATTGGCTGTTCAAATGGGGGTGAAAACTGTCAAGAAAATGCAGGGCATTTATTTGGGGGCAGGAAACACAGAAGGAAGGCAGAGGAAAAGCAAAAGTCACCAAATATGTGAATACAAGGTGTGTGGGTCTCCTTTTCCAGACCCCAGCACTGTCCCTGCACATCCCATCCCATCCCAGGGTGGATTTCTGCCCCGCACTGACACACTGCTTGGACATTTGGACCATCAGGGCAACACAAGCTGATCTCTGAGGAGCTGCTCCTCATTCCAGCACACCATGTTCTGCACCAAATTCCAAGTCTCCTCTGCTCCATTTTATCACTGAGGTCTTGGCTGCATTCTTCTGCTTTTTTCCCCTTTTTTTTTTTTTTTTTGTCCCTTTGCCTATTTCTTCTTTTATTTATTTTAATTTTTATTTTCCAGCAAGCTTTTCTCTAGCAATCTGCTGGAATGAGCAGCCAGCCTGTGTCAGCTGGGACGGAGCTGAGATTTATGAGAGCTGAATGCTCAGACAGTGGTTCAGGGTGGAAACTCTGACCCAGCAGAGCCTGCTGGGTGATTTTACACAGATTTACTCTCCGTCTGATCTCTAGGAACCTCTGCATGCAAACCTTGTGGATGTGCTCAGCTGGAGAAGAGTTTGGGCTCAGCCCTTTGCTTCCACTGACCAAGCCCAGTGCCTCAGTTTCCCTGCAAACCTGGATTTTGTGGGTTCAGGACTGCCCACTGTCACAGAAATCCTTTCCTTAGGATTTTTCCTCCTGAGAAGCTGGGAGGCCTCAGGAACAAAATGTAAACATTGATTTTCTGCTGCTGTGGAATGCAACAGGTGCATCTGGGATTGGTCTCATGTGGTTGTTTCTAATTAATGGCCAATCACAGCCCAGCTGGCTTGGGCTTTCTGAGAGTCACAAGATTTTTTATTATCATTCCATTCTCTTGCTTTTCCTTTCTCGCCTTCTGATGAAATACTTTCTCCTATTCTTTCAGTATAGTTTTAGTATATAAATATAATATCATATCATATCAATAATAATATATATCTATCATAATATAATACATATCATAATACAATACATATCATAATATAATATATATCATAATATAATCTATATCATAATATAATAAATCAGCCTTCTGAAACATGGAGTCAGATTCTCACCTCTTCCCTGCCCAGCTTCTCAAGAGAAAAAAATCCTAAGGAAAGGATTTTTCATAAAATGTGTCTGTGACACTCACGGAGCACATGAAGCTTTGCAGCCCAGGGGCTGCTGCACCCAGGCCAAAAGGCAAAAATCACCTCGGGTAAATCTGAACTCCTACAGGCACTAACAGCTCTGCAAGCACAGGAGCTGGAGCTGTTTATCACCAGGAAGAAGTGAAGTGAGCTGTGAAGCCAAACTCCTGTGGCTCTGACAGAAATCTCAGGATTTTCCCCTTCCAGGACCCGACACAATGGCCCTGTCTGGCCAGACACGGAGCCTTTGAGGGATGGAGCTCCAGCTCTGTCTGGGCACGGAGTCAAACTCCACAAAGCTCCATCCAAGCCTCACACCTGATGGCACTTTGAGCCAGCCCAGACAATCATCTGGAGTTTGTGCTCTGCTCCTTCCACCCTGTCCAGCTGCCAGCCTGCCTGCCTTCTCTCTGAGGAGATAATGCCAGCAGATCCTTCCAAAAAGAAAAGGAATCCTCGGGAAAAAAAACAGGTTTTAGGCAATCTTAGAGTGATGAGGAGGTGTGAGACCACGAGGCTGACAGGATCCTCCAAGCCCCAGCTGGAAGTGCAGGGTCAGTGTGGGCTCTAATGAGGCTCTGGTGGGACCAGCTCTGACTGAAAAAGGACTTCTACATTCTTGGAATCTTCTAAATCCATGGAATCACAGAATGCTTTGGGCTGGAAGGAGATCACCCAGATCCAACCTCCTTCCATGGGCAGGGACACCTTCCATGAGAAGGAATTTTATCATCCAGCCAAGCTTTGAAAATCTCCAAAGAAGGGGATTTTACAGCTTTGTTCCAGCATTTGAGCACAGCTGAGGGGCTCCTCTCTGTGCTGACCCCTGCATGGTCACAGCATCATCATCCCTGCAGGTTCTTAGCTCCATTCCATAGAAACATCAGCACTGGCCACTATTCCTAGGGGGACAGAATTAACTGAAATTAGAATTGAAGCTTTCTTTGATGGACTCAGAATGTCCAGAAGTCAGGAATATGCTGGTTTTTCATGGTGACTCTTTTCATGGTGATTCATTCCCCAATATTATTGCAGTATCAGGGCTGCTGTCATCTCAAAATAAGGCAGAAATCCTGAAAATCACCAGAACTGAAACTGCATTAGACACAGACCTGGCCACTCAAAATGAAAGGAGCAAACCACAATTTCCCTGGTGTCCCATTAACCTCAGAAGCACAATAGAAAAACTGAAGTCACAATTCAGGAAAAAAAAATTAAATAAAATCAGCACCTAAATTGCTCCTGAGGAACCTGCTCTTGAGCAGAAATTCCCTCCAGCCTCAAATACCCTCTGTGATTTTCAATAATTTCAATAACTTCAAATAATTTTTCACATTATTTTGAATTTATCTGTATCAAAATGTGCATTTATGTGCCTTCCTGAAATGTTGCATTAGTGGGGAACTTGCTGATAAAAATGGAGTAAAACTGAGAAATTTTTCAATTATACTTCATGCAACTCCAGGCCTGGTGCCGAGATTAATTAATTTTTTTATGGATTTCTCTGCATGAGCTCCTTGAATCCTCTGTTTACCAGTGGGGCTGTAATACTCATACTTGTTTTCATCCTATCAAAACCACACACCTACTTTATTTCATTTATTGCACCAATTGCTGGAATTGTGCAACTCCTGGGGATTCTTTCTAAAGCCTTCAGACAAATGACATCCAACAGGAAAAAATAAAAAAGCCAAAGGAAAAACACCCTTCTCAGAGAGGAAGAAGCTGAAGTTTTGTACACCTGGCTTCCAATTTTTGGCAACAGCAAAACCCCAAATTTGCATATTCTAGCACCATCATTTTGACAGAAATTCGGAATGAGCATCCTTGGTGTCCTGACACGACACTGAGTTTGAAGGGGAAAATATTGCCTGTTAAAAGAAGATGAGATGGATAAAATCTTAAAACTTAGACATGGGGAGGGATGGAGGCTGAGGGAAAGGGAACGTGGATGTGGAGAAGGATTGGAAAAGGGAGAGGGAACCAGAGAGACCAGTGAGGGAAAAGGGAGAGAGAAGGGGAAGGATTGGAAAAGGGAGAAGGAACCAGAATTGGGGTGGTCTGGGCACACACAGCACTGGTGGTGTTTCTGCACCAAAGAACATCACCTGCCCCACCTTCTCCTCCATCCATTTCAGTAAATTTAGGCCAAGAAATGCCAAAAGTCCAGAGCACAGCCCTTGTGCAGCTCAGCTCATGTGGAGGACAGTTTGTTTGGAGAGGAGACAGGGAGGAGATGACTCACAAAGGGCTCCTCACCCTTCTGACAGCTGTGAGAGGGAGCACGAGGCACCAGCCTGTCCCCGAGGATAATCCAGCCCCAGAACTGGGACAAGGAACTGGGAATAACACAGACAGGCTCTTCCTGGGGACAAAAGCCAGAATATGTTGATTTATGGCAAGAGGAGGAGGGATTTATTTTTATTATCCGAGCCAACCTGAATCACTGCAGAGGCAAGAGATCAAAAATAAAGACCAGGTCCACGTCCTTTCTTGGTTTAATTGCAGTCACTCCAGGAGGGTTTTGTTTGAACAAGGGTTCCTGATGTTATGTCTGCACTGAAAATAAAAAAAAAAAAATAAAAAATGCTTCTGTTTCAGTTTGGTCAAGCCCCATGAGCTAACCTGGGCTAAAATAGAGGTGACCAGAGTGCAGGAGCAGGAGAGGGATGGAGTGGCCAGATCAAAGGTGCTCAGGGAGGAACACCCAAGCTCAGGAAGCTGTGAGTAATCCCCACACCATGCCCAGCCTCAGGAACCCACAGCTTC